GTTTAGGGTTTAGGGTTTGACTGCTTGATATTGGGGCCTCAATAACTACCTATTTTATTGTGGGGGGTTCTTACAGTGGGTTTAGGGTTTAGGGACTTTCCGAAAATCAGGGGTACCTTGTTTTGGGGTCCTTATAATAAGGATCCTACCATTTAGGGTACTATATTAGGGTCCCCTAGTTTCGGAAACCCCCATATAGGGGCCTCAATAATTACCTATTTTATTGTGGGGGTCCTTACAATAATTGTACCATAAAGGACCCCAAAACCCTATTCTAATCATTATAAGGCACTTATATTAGATATTCTTCCCAAACGCTATCCCTCTTCAATGGGGCGGTGTGTCTCTGTCCCCGTTTTCTTTGTGACTTACCGGCTTTGACATCGCGGTTTTCGTTTTGCATACAGGTTACTCTGGTTTACCTACATCCGGCTGATGAAGAGGGCCCAAAGGCAGCGTCTTCGAAGTCTCGACAGCTAGCACAGCCATTTCGAAGGCGCAGTTGCAAAAAAGCAAGACAATCCCCGAAGCACCCTACCTGGTCTCCGCAAGTACCCTAGTGGACAAAAAGCACGTTTTAGGGGTTAAAGGTTTAGGGTTTAAGGATTAAGAGACTACTGAGAACACAGCCACGACGTCTTCAACACTCGACAGCAGAGCCCTTCGCGTCTTTGGCACTTCATGTTTGGGCTGAGGCTAATCATCCGACAATCCGAGGCAATATGAAAGGACGTGTAATGTGCACGCAGGTTGAAGAAATCTTGCAGCCACTAGGGTTAGATATCTATGGTAAGACGGTCCCAAACCTGCGGTTTTGCTGAAACCTGGTCAAGGAAAAAACCCTCCTGTCTGTCAGGTGCCCTGACTCTCGACCAGCCTGGGTTCGTCCATCCCAAAACACGTTGCTACCTCTGAAACGCTCAACTTCTCTTCGAGACCCCAACAAGATCTGCTTTTCATGCTTTCAACAACTCGCTAAGCGTCCGAATCAAGTACAGCTCGGCAGAAGCTTGCACCGTGCGCGATAGAGCCTCCAAACACCCCAGGCCTTGCAGAAGCATCTCGTCTCTCGGCCGATCGGGGGCAGCTTCCCGTTTAGGGTTTAGGGCTTGGGGTTTAGGGTTCTGGGTTTCGGGGTCCTTTTCCAGGGATCCAGATACTTAGATTCTGACTTCTGGCGAGTGTCAGGTAACGCAGACCGTAGAGACTTGCAGTCAGACAGTCAGGGGCAGGATGCAAGGAGGTTTTGTGGACTTTGGGTCGATGTTAGGCCACCATTGCTGGTTTTTCGTCGAGGTTTGAGTGCTTCTGGTAGAAAGTCTTAGGGTTTGGGCTAGGGGGAGTTGGGTTCAGGTTCAGGGTCTCAGCTTCGGAGCCCTGCACAGTAGCCGATGCGTATTTGCATGCCCCTTACACATCGTTACTCGATTGTGTTCTGCACCAGCTCCATGCAAAGCCAAGAGCCAAAGCCTTGACGACCCTCTAGCTTCTGAAATCCGACGACTGGCTTCTGGTAGCCTTTACTCCAGGATTACAAACCACTCCGAACACTGCATCCCTTTTGGGTACCCTTATGCCATTGAGGGTTGGATTTAACTGCAAATGGCTAGGAAACTGAGTCGGCGCCAGCGGCTGCGAAGGCTCACCGTGCCCTTTCGGGTTTCATTTGTGAATGCACCAGCTTGGAACTGCATTCCATTATTAGCAATGTCGTTATCGTTGCCGTCGTCGTCGTCGCAGTAGTAGCCGTTGTCGTGGTATAATCGTACCATGTAGATGTAGTAGTAGTCGTCGTCGTCGTCGTCGTAGTCGTAGTCGTAGTCGTCGTCGTCGTCGTCGTAGTAGTAGTAGTAGTAGTAATAGTGGTAGGTAGTCGTAGTGGTAGGTAGTAGTAGCAGTAGTAGTAGTAGTAGTAGTAGTAGTAGTAGCAGTAGCAGTAGTAGTAGTAGTAGTAGTAGCAGTAGTAGTAGTACTAGTAGCAGCAGTTGTGGTGGTAGTAGTAGTAGTAGTAGAAGAAGAGCTACCAATGCTGGCATGTACAGCATTCGCACTGCAGAATTTTGACGTTTTAGTTTTCTTGCACCTCCTCAAAACATACCCAAACCGCAGCCCAAAATCGGCCAGGCTTCATGTCGGACTTTTTCAGAAAATTGCTAATGCACCTGCATTTTTTTGCGTTCCAGGAGCAAAGGTCACAAGACGCGCAAGCCGAAACGCATGTTTAACATGATTTGTGTACGCATGTTGAATTTTCACAGAGTCCATGGCCCAACCATGATGGCGTCCAAGGTCTAATCTGTTCCGAGTTTAGAGCATCCATGGCCCAACCATCATGACGTGCACGGTCTAACCCGTTCTGAGTTTGGAGCATCCTTGGTCAAACCATCATGACGTCCGCGGTCCAACTCTCTCTGAGTCTAGCATCCATGGCCCAACCATCATGACGTCTATGCTCTAGTCCGTTCTGCTCTTAGAGCATCCATGCGGCACTCTCTGCAGAGGCAGTTCGACGCAAGCACCACTCCAGACTTGCACAAGCAAACATGACCAGAGACGTTTTGCATACTAAACCCTTCTTCCCTGCATAAAGGGTGTTGGCCTGTGCGTTTTTAAGCTCTGGCGTTTAGGCTTTAGGATTGTGCTTATCCCATGTCAAGCTAAAGATCCAGGAAGTGGCTATAGGCTTTAGGCTTGGGTTTTGCATGGAGTCCTGGTGCTGAACATGTTTTGATATAGCGGCCTGAAAGATATTTATTGCCAACATCTGTCCTCCAGCATGCATCGAAGCTACAAAAACCTCCAAAGCCGGAAGAACTGACACCCCAAAACCTTCAACGCCAGCTGGAAACCATTACCTCCCAGTTTTCAAAACATACTAAGGCTAAGATCCATAAAGGGCAAAAATAGGACTCATGGGCCCATGCCTACAAAACCCCAAATCCGATGACCCTTGGCCACAACAAATCTTACGCGACTATTTGTATGTATCTGTGTGTATAGTTATAGTTACATACATACATATATATATATATGTTTGTGTGTTTATTTATTTATCTATTTGTTTACTTATGTATTTATGTATTTAGTTAGTTAGTTAGTTAGTTAGTTAGGTAGGTAGGTAGGTAGGTAGGTAGTTATTTACTAACTTTTTTACTTGCATACATACACAGCCATATTACCACCAGGACTCTGGACTTTGAGCCACCTCTGTGCCGAAGCAAGTGTTCATGGTGCGGTTGTCCAGGTCCAAGTTAAGATTGAACCATAAGAACAAAGGGGGTTGCGCCTTGCCTTCAAAGCCCCTATTGCAATCCTTAACCAATAGTATTTCGGGAGCTCCTTAAGAATTCCTGAGGCCCCTAGATTACCTGAAGTGCCAGGAGGAGCCTCCGGCGCGGCAAAGGCTTTTGCGGGCTTGGAGTCGTCATGAGCTTGTAGGGCCTGCTAGGGTTCACGAGGATTTTGGAACTTACAGGGGTGCGCAGGGCTTGTAGGACTTCTGGACTTCTTTCGGGCCTTTGGGGATTTTATAAGGGGCGTGGTGGGGGTTTGTAGGCGTTATACATCGGCTGATAGGGTTTGCAGTGGGTTGCTGTGTGTCTCGATTCGGATTCGGCAGACGATCGTTCCATGCCTTCGTAGTAATGCCCCGAAACGACCAAAAAGTTCGATTTACATGCGAGACGACCGCAGTTGTTTAGCACTCCAGCTCTGTAAGCTGATGAGCCCAACCATGAACCTTGAAGGCAGGAAAATGCTTTCAGTATGGACCGCATGGAATCTCGAACATACAACCCCAAAGAGCGGGCGGAAGCACTTTCCACACGACACAACACTAGAGACCCTGAGGTGCGGGCAAAAGAGTCGTCACTTCACTGCTGGGCCCCGCAGGCCTCCGTCAAAAGACTTCGCCAGCTTCGCCCCAGAGCCCAGAAGAGCACCCTGGCGCGGCCTGCGGATCGTACTATGGGGGCCTTAAGAATTAGACTCGGGTTTTGGGGGTTCCTTATTATTCTCTTATAATAGTAGTCGAGATTTTTGGAAGTTTCGGAAACTAGGGGGCCCTGGCATACCAAGTATGCTGCCCGGAACCGTGCTTCAAGGGCCCTTGAATGTACGCCCGTCTGCTGAAACCACCACTTGTCGAAGATCTAGTGTGTTTTAGGGTGCGGGGTGGTGGCGCTGTCCGTTTTGGCTTGAGGCGGGTGGGGGCGAGATGGTTTCTTTGTATCTGTTGTTCAAAGCTACCCTAAACCCTTTAAACCCTAAACCCAATCTCTATAACATCATATACTGGATTAAACTTGTTTCAATCATTCGGAGTTCCAAAGCCTCAGGAGGATTGGCTTCCATGGCCCCCCATGGCCCTCAAAGAGCCAGGTTTCATGCAGTCCTTGACGAGGTTTAAAAACCTTAAGTCAAAGCTCCAAACGCTATAAACCCACAAAGCCCTAAACCCAAAGCCCCTAGGCCCATAAACCCTAGCCCCAAAGCCCCTAAGCTCTAAACCCTAAGCCACAACGCCCCTAAGCCCTCAACTCTAAACCCAAAGCCCCAAAGCCGCCAAGCCCCTCAGCCCTAAACCCTAAGCCCCCGAAGCCCTAAACCCAAAGCCCTTAAGCCCTAAGCCCCAAAGCCCCTAAACCCTAAGCCCCTAAACCCCAAAGCCTCAAAAAGCCCCGAAGCCCGAAAACCCAAAGCCTCCTCCGTGTCCGCGTTTTTGTTGTCGGAGCCGAGGCTCCGGAGCCGACGCCCAAAGCCGCTCCGGCCGCGCCGGCCGCAGGGAGAGGGAACTTACGGTTTAGGGGCTTTGGGGCTTAGGGTTTAG